CATTTAAGGACGTGACTCTATGTGTGTACTGTATGAGTGCTTGCGTGTGTGTATGCAGGAGACAGGGTATGTTGGTGTGCTTGTGAACTCACATACATAATTCACTTACAGAACGTAACCTTGAACTCATCCAACATCATAACCGGAAGTTACCGCTATCATCACAATTAAAATATACTCACCGGAAGTCCTAGGTGATACATGTTGGTATAGCTCTAAACAACCCTATAGACTGACCTATACAGGGTGTACCAGACGTATACCCATGTGTCCGGGCGTATCTGTGGACAAAGTTCAAGGCGAGGCGACATGCCTTCTATAATATCAGGCACGTGTGTATCTGTCAAATACAATTTTCCGAAAACCGTGAAGCCCAGACACACGCTGCTCGATATTTGCACTCATTCTGCATATGTAATGTACGTGCATGCGTGTTGATAATGTTATATTAGATTAGTTGTTAGAGCGTTTGCAGGTATCTATACTCGGAGTACGGGCCTGTGGAAGCTATATACAAGTACATCTCTCTGCCAAATGATCAGAGTGGCATAGGCCTACGAGGCTATGGGTTAGTAGTAAGTCAATGTGTTGGGTTAGACGTTAAAGTGACATGGGGTAAGCTATCTCCTTGTCGATCTTTGATACGGCAGTCTAAGCAAGCACTGGATAATCCATACCACGTGCAATGGGTATTGTGGAGCACACTCATTAGGCTTCCAATAGACCTGTTACCAATTGAGTAATTGGGACTTGATGCTTTGTTTACTAATGTTTTCAGCTGATCATTGCTTACAATAAATATATTTCAGCTTATCCTTTGTCAGCAATAGAGATATCTTAGCCATTTGTTAGTTTACAATATAGAGATACATTTCATCTGATTCGTTGTCTACAACAGAGATATGTTAGCGGAAGGTTTGTTTACAGAAGGAAGATCCCAGCAGACTGTTTGTTTGTTTAATCAGTGAGTTTATACGGTTTGTTAACATTATGAGTTTATTTTCTTCAGTTTACATCTTATATACAGTTGGTTACTAAGTTTAAATGCAATGATTTGTTTACGTTAATTTACATCTTATTGTTTCCTTACATCATTGAGTTTACATGTGATCATTTGTTTATTATTACTGAATTGACAGCTGATGGTTTGTTTACGTCAACGCTTACCCTTCATGAACACCTGGTCCTTGTACATTGTCAAGGGTCTCTATGTAAATCTTTACTTTGTTCATATCTTGCCCTAGTTTTTCGATTTTGAATTCGAGTGTTCTCTTGTTGTTTGTTTGTTTACCTCTAATGGTTTGTTTACATTTGGTGGTTGGTTTACACTGACGATTTGTTTATCTGACGACTTGTTTACATTAATGATTTTTTTTCTATTCATTTGGTAACATCAGCACGTGTGACTGGTTGGACGTTATGAAACAGAGACGGATCTAGTCTTCTGCCGTTTATACAGACTTGCAACTACTGCATTAGCATTGACATTTCTGTAAGTTCTACATTGATATTACGAGGTCTGCCGAATAGTATCCCCCCCCCCCCTTCAAAAACAAACAAACGATCCAGTAAACGTCCAAGACAGACTTCTTGCTGACATGTATTGCCACTGCGCATGTCACAGTGAAGTGAATGCCATCTAGATAACAAATCATGCATGCATCACTCATACTTCTATTACATCTGAATATAATTCAAGATAAACAACAGTAAATAAAAGGCACACGTAACCAGGATCATATCACAATACGTGGCGTCATGCCGACACTTGGCAACCTCTAGGTTCCATAAAATCGTAGCGTTTCAACCAAAAATATAAACATGTCTTCCAGTCCTCTTTCTGCCATACGATAAAATAACTACAGTACGTGCACTTTATACAGCGCGGGAACATTCTGGGAATGTTGACAAGGCAGCCCCTATCCGTTCACGGAATAGTATACAGGCCGTACACACTACAAACATATGTCGTGCGCGTGCCTGTCCCGATCACTTCGCCGTGTACATCAGGTGTTTACATTGATACAAACATTACAGTCCAGATACAAAACTGTTGCAATTATGTCAGGCATTGTAAGAGCCGTTTGGTGGCGGTTTTATTGCGAGTGGGTTTGGAGATATTCCAATGTAGTTAGTACCTACAAAAACACAAACGGTTACTGATGCACGTAACCTTCTATTACTTCACTATTGCGCACTGCAGTGCGTTCAAATGTCTTAACTTAATATACAATAGTCTGGTGTACAGTATGTGTACATGTATATAAACATTTCTTTGTTCTCCTTGAGCTTTAAGCTCGTCAGTCCCTCTTGAACTATCGACGCTGCGTTCGTGACTGCAGTGCTAACGGTGTGGAGTGAACACCTATCAGAAACAAACAGACATTAACTGCACCGTAACCGCTACATCCTGGAACACGTCACTTATAACGTAACAGATTGTTTCCGTCACGAGAGATAGGCTACCAACACGTTGCTTGGAAACTTTGGAAATCGAATTTCTAAAAGTTTGAAGAAAATATCCTAAATATTTATTATTCAAACACAGTATATTGTGTAGAAGTTAAACCCCAGAGGGAAAACAATATCAAATATGTTGTCACGAGTTCTTCAATCTTTATAATATTTCTTGGGAAACATTATTTGCTTATTTTCCAAACCCAGAAATTTATATACCAAGAATGTGGCTACATGTTACCACAGGGACATGAGAATTAATTACAGCTTTATTTGGACCTAAACTAAGGTGTTCAGAGTAATTTGACATTTTTAGGGGTTTAGGTCGACTTTCGGTAAAAAAAAAAGACACCCCGCAATGATCATATACGCTCTTATACCTGTTTTGTTGTCCAGGTCACTGGTCACCACAATCTGAGAAGATTAAACACACGTGCCACTTAAAAAGGGAGGTAGTCCAATATTAGTAAGTTAAGCTTCCAATCATACACACTTAACGACACGTATAACGATGTGGAGGAGGGTTCGGTAGCAGGTTTGTTTCTCCCCAAAATTACGCTGTACGCGTACCAGAATTCGCGAAGAGTAAAAAAAAACATTGAGATATTTATCATTTTAGGTCATACTGACTGACAGGGAGTGTACTGCAATATCAAGGTATTCATATACATCAAGTTTTCACCAATAACTGTTTGTTTATTTGATTGTTTGTTTGTGAGGAGTTTTTGTGTCTTTGTAACAGCGAAGTCAGTGAAGGATAAAGGTTACCCTGTTAATTATCCGAGTAGAAGATAGCTAACCCGGTTAGTGGTCAGAGTATAAGATAGATAATCAAGTTTAAAGTAAGAAATATTATAGCTAACCCGCCGAGTATAAGATAAGAAACCCGGTTAGTGGTCTGAGAACAACATAGCTAGCCCAGTTAGTGGCCAGAGCATTATAAAGCTTACCCAGTAACTAAACCGAGTATAGCATAGCTAACCTGGTTAGTGATCAGAGTGTAAGATAGCTGACCCGGTAAGTTGTCAGAGTAAAATAAAGCTTACCCGGTTAGTGATAAGAGTATTAAATAGCTAACCCTATTATCCCGGATATTGTTTTAACAACCAACAACCTGTTGGGCATGTATATAACACTAGGACCCTTAGGCGAAAGCAGCATGTAGACTCGTGAATAAGATAGCCATCCAAGTCTATATTTACTAACAATGGGTGATCCAAAACAAAGAAAGAAATTGATTTAGAATAAACAAATCTATTTAACTAGTATGATTGAGTAGGGTGCACAATACACTGCAATATTATTACCTTTTTAATCGTTTTGTGTTTTCCTGCTCAATAATTACAAAAAAAACACGATTAAAATACCTATCTGACACAATGTATCAGAGAGCTAAACACGATACAACAAGTACTATTAACCTATTTACAGAATGTAAGTGTAACTTACGTAAACACTTATGAAACTGTTCACTCTGATACACGTTAAGCGTGAAACAAAAGGTCATCATTTCATAAAATCATTATGATCACCATATTACAAAATTACATACAGAAGTACAAGTGGGTAGTATGGTGATAGATCTAGAGTAACAAGAAAAACACCTTTGTGTCTTCATAACTGACATCTTGTTAGAATGAGGTGACAAACACATGTTTGATAATTTGCGTCATAATCGGTCTAGGTAATTCGAAATCACATTTAAATCTGAATGGTATAATTTACCGCATCATTAAATAGATATCTGTGAATAAGCGTGCGCCATGGAATTTACCTGTCCTAAAATACACCTATTTCTGTATACCAAACACTGAAATACACAGGATGCTGTGCCTCGTTGACGACTATCCCCAAATGGAGATGGATGTAAAAGGTAACACCTTATTGTGTCAGCATCCGGGTAATCAGTGACAGTCAGTAACAAATGAACAGTCACGATCCTGGTACAGAAATCGACAGTAATAAGTTGTTCAGGTGTTGTTTATGATCGGTCGAACGGTGTACTCATTAAAACCGGACTGACCCAAACTGGCAACCACAATACCTACCCGTGGTATGTCGTTATCACAACTAAACCTACTGTGCCATCATTTCGTATACTCGTATCCAGTCTAATAACAAATAATGTAAAATCTTGGGGCCTAATAGTTCCCAGTGTTCTTTGCTCTACGGCTTCCTTAACTTCTGTGAATAGTGTCCGGACTAATTAATGTCGTTAACAGAACACTGCACAACGTTATCGAACTATTAACAAGACATAACTTGGGGACTAATTCAATCTCATTAAAATCAGATGTTAATAAAAAATACTTACGGCTAGTCATGCGGTACGTGTTAATGAACAGCTGTATTTATTCAGATTGGGACTAATTAAGAGGAAAAATCAAACTTTTCACAATGATCGTCATAAAATAAAAACTATTAACAAGAACTGTTTTTAATACTGAATGTCATAAACCAATATGTAAATACTTATCATGCTGTGACAATGAATATCAATTGTATACGTACCGTTTTGTCATTCATCGTAAGTATATACATACCATTATGTCAGTGGCAAGCCGGTTCATAAGAACCACTAAGCCTCGGCCATCTATTGCCATGGTAACCAGAAATGGCGGTGTCTTCTATCGGCACCTGTCTGATAACCATGAAGCCAATTGTGAGTGACCGGATATGTCACAGTTACCGTACGATGAATATTATCTTTTCCGTATTAAAACAAAGTGAACCCAACTGTTCAGGATCTTTAACGGTATTCCTATGATCCGTCGTCAGTTTGTATGGTCTTGAGTTTCTCATCAAACACATGTTTCAGACGTCAACTTTATGAAAACACACACTTTAAACAATGAACAAGACAGCACTTTGAGAAAAGTATATCCGTAGCGATCATGGCAATTGTTTTCACAATTATATACGTATCGGAAACTTATGTGTCAAGATACGCGTTCATACGCGCGAGACGTCAAAATTCTCGCAACAATGATAACTTGGCTTGGGAATGTCCATCTTTGTTTGGCACACAGGTGTATGCACTTCTCTCCCGCGATAGTTCTGTTTTCTATACAGCACATATGGCTGGCTGTATGGTACACACAAAATAACACTGCAAGTATGACGAGTTCTGAAAATGAAATCAAAATTTCCCTCGCAAGTAGGTCATGTCTGATGCCACGTTTACAAATGCACCAGTTTAGAGATTATGGCGAGGAACTCGTTTTCACAGAATATGTTGCTAACAGTACTACACTGCGGTTTTCCACGTGTACGAGTGCTATCATAAACAAAATGTTCATGGGCAAAGTTGTTCGCCGTGTTTTTCAACATTAAACTAATTGGGACTAGCCAAACTCCTATATGCAGTACATTGACGCCTATGTAATGCTCATTGCCCCCAACGCAGTAGGTACTAACTCCTGTCTTGGTGGGTTTTGGATTTTATGTACTGTTTGACTCCTATGGAATGTTAATTGACTAGTATGTAATGTGTTTTGACACATATTTAGCGTTTTATTGGCTCCAACACAATGACTCTTGTGTATGTTGACTCTTATGTAGCGAATTTTGACTCATATGTAGTGTGGATTGACTCTTCTCGTCATGTGTATTGACTTCTGTCGTAGTGTGTATTGACTCCTTTTGTAGTGTGAATCGACGCTAATGTAGTTTGGATGTAAACAACGTCGGCGTGGCAGTGATGGCCGACACGCAAGCCCGACGTAAAAACGGCCGTTTTAAATCAACTACTAGACCACGACTATGCGACGAAACATGGTGACACTCGTTCACACATTGAAGAGGCGCTGACTACTGAGGCCCCTACTACTGACAAGTGGCCTGGGAAGTATTTTTTACATTCACACGACATCACAATAGTAAGGATTATATTTTATATTTGATTTTATGCCCAATAGGCCTATATTTCAAGTTATTTTTTTTTTATATTGCATACAACAGTTTTATTTTTACAATGTGATATTTGTATACCACAATATCGTATGTTGTTATTTTTGCGTATAGTGTGATATTTGTTATACCACAATATATATAGTATGTTGTTATCTGTTTATAATGCACAAGTTTATTATTGCCATATAGTGTGATATTTTTTATATCACTCTATGGTATGTTGTTATCTGTACATAACCTGAAAGTTTATTATTGTTGTATAGTGTGATTTTTTTTATATCACTCTATGGTATGTTGTTATCTGTACATAACCTGAAAGTTTATTATTGTTTTGTTCAGAATGTAAAAGTTTATTATTGTTGTATAGTGTGATTTTTTATGTCACAACATAGTATGTTATTTGTACAGTATGTAGAAATTAATTATCGTTGTGTAAAGTATGTGGAACTTTATTATTGCTGTTCATTGTGACACAGTAAAGTACATTGTTTGTTACAATGTTATTCATACACGATGTGCAATTTGTCTTATATTGGTTATTACATTTGAAGTAATATTATTGGTCGGTAATGCCTACTGTATTATATTTGTATACAAAAAGTGTTATATTGTATGTTGTAAATTGAATAATGAATTTTTGGGATTTTACAAATGTAAGAGTTGTCTCTCTTTTTTGTTTATTTTTTTTTTATCTTTTAAAAAAAAAAAAAAATTTAGAATAAGTAAGTCCGCAAGATATTTTTTTTTGTCACCCATATTTTCTTTTCGTCGTCCAAACATGTTGCATTGGCACTCGGAATTTTATTGATTCATGCAATGGGCATTTTTGTTTGTTTTAGTATTATCGTGCGAAAATAACTCAGTTTTTGTGTGTTTTGTTCATCAATATTGTCATTGTTATTATTTTTTATGTATTGTTTTTCTAATAAACCATTGTTGCATCAAATAATATATAATTTGTTGCATTTTGTTCAATTGAATTTCTTTTTTAAATCGAAATTTCATAACTTCCCAAAAAATCTGAAGAAACTCCCGCAAGGTATGGGTTATTGTTCAGAAATGATTTGCTTATGCAATAGCGATGCCGTAGAAAAACACACCAATGTCTCATCACATTTTTAGGCGGAGGGATTGGGATCCTTAAGAAGTACTAGTACGTATTAACAAACAAAAATGACCGTAATAGCAGAAGAAGCGAGCGAAAACCGGGCAAGAAAGATCGTCATTTTAAAGGGATATGGCGTGGCATTATGTTCTTTCCGGCACATAAGAAAATCAAACTAAATTCCTTTTTGTTTTATGTCTTTGACACGTTTCAAACCTGAGTGTGGGCTTGACGGAAAGTTAATGAAGTTTGCTGTGTATGAAAAATTAAAAACGCCAGTTTCTTCCTGCTGATACAAGGAAAAAAGAGCGAAGGTCTATTCTACTACATGTTAACGTTTTCTATAATTAAAACACGAGTTATAACACATGTTTCTCCGCACGAGGTGTACGCCAACCCTTCGTATGTGCTACAGATGTTTGCGGTGTTGGTAAAGCACGGTTGTTGTATTAACGGAGTTGTACGGAAACAGTCGATACTCTCCCGTTCTACCGTCATAAGCTGTATTACAGTTACCACTCTATAGCGCTGCTACTTTATAACCCTACCAAGTTCTGATGGCATTCATATAGACTGCAAATGCCATGACCCATGTGTTGACGTCATCTTTATACTGATCCTCCATGGAACATACACGTTACATAGATTTATTTGAATTATCTGCTGAATTATATTTTGCAGATTTTAAAATGGCCCATACTATGATGTTTGCCTGCAAAACTTTGATATTAACATAGACTGTAAATGCTTTTTCATCACAGTTTAATTTTTAAATTATTATTGTTATATTTTTATAATTGGCTACATGACTACGAACTCTTATTTGATAGTTAGGGCTTGATACTATAGCATCAACAGTCAAAAAACGAACCGGAAATATAAGATTTAACGCTTAAGTCGGCGAAGTATGTGTGGACAACAATCGCAGCGCCCTCATCAGTTATTTTCTAAAACTTCGATCAGCCGACGTTCTCCGAATCGTGGTGATAAGTGTTACACAAACCCAGTACAATAATATACCTACTAGACTAATTACATCTTACCAAATTGGCAGTCACTGCACAATGATAATCTGCAATAATAAACAAACCTACAGTAGAAATAGCGTCACTATTATAAATTATGTAATAGGTATCGCGTGTGCTTCCCTACGAAAACCAGTCCTTAAATGACCTTAGCTGTTAAAAGGACGTTAAACCAAATTAAACCAAACCCTACCCTACCAAAGCAACAGTCCTGGACACTCCCCAAGGTTGAACGTGATATAATGTACTAAGACATTCTATCTATATATCTATCTATGTTACATAGGTAGTCTATGTTTTGAGGTTTAACTCATTATAGGATTACGTTGTACCTGTATATTTGTTTATCGTTAACAATGATTTTTTCTCTATGATAAAAACATTTATAACATTTCAAATAAATAATCCTCCCTTACGTACACCACTACCCGATTGTTCCCCCTATTCCGCTATGGACCCCATAGGTGCCTCCGCAACACTTCGTATTCCCCTGGGGACGCGTGCCGTGCGGATCATGTATCTTCGCGCGGATCATGTTTCTTCGTGCATTAAGTCGTTATCCCGTTTCACATTCCGCGTTTGTAATTAGGATGCTTCGCAGTGCACGTGCTTTGTCCATTACAGACAACAGTACGGAATCCCCGAAGGACTCCGATGTCTGCACGTGCACTGTGCTGGTCAGTACGCCATTTTAATGGTTGTTGTCATACATTTGTAAAGCTGTATATGAACTGTATCATTTAGAAGTATTTATAAACAAATAGAAAAGAAATCTCGAGATTATAGAAAGTTACATCAATAACACTCATTGAACATGCATTCACAAACAGGATGTGGATGATCACACGCCACCTGGTGACAGAACACTGTACCAGTGATTGAAATCTAACGTGCAGTTCAATGATATATCCAGAAAGGACTTTTCCCCCCGATATTCCTCTCAGCGACTTATTACTCGTCTCTGTGTTTTCACGTTTTCAAGACAAACACGATATGTATCCACTCTGATAAAGAACGATTTAACCCAGTTCTGTTTCAAGTTTGATGCTGGAATATAAATGAGCAAGCGACTAAAATCTGTTGGTATATAATTATTCTATGATTTCTGCTCCAGCTACGTAAAAAACAATCAACAATGCTAAAGCTCAGTAAATGTATGTGTGCTAAGGACGACGACCGTACAGTCATGCGACAGTGTATCTGATAGTCACGTGATGTGAAGATCAAGTGACTAAATGAGTCATGTGACTACACTGCACATTCCCACAGTTATATCATTTAAAGAAAGTGTATAAAAAGTTAACATTTCGATGCAAGAATTGTTTAAGCCAGATAACGATTCTGGAAGGCACATAATCAGTGAACTTCTCTAAGACCTAGTCAGCTGTATGGCATATAAATCTGTATCAGCGATATATAACAAGTGACACAGAAAACTCGACAAAAACATGGACGCGATGTATTGCAGCAAAATCAGTTTTTAATAAACTAGTTAAAAAATCTCGTAAAGACGTGACTTGAGTTCTCGTTATATTTGATGTAAATGCACGTATATTGCAAGTAGTTTCTCTACGGCATCTATAGCATCACATTTGTATAAAATATATAGCATCATTGTATGTGGAAAGATAGTGAAATGATGGACATAAAATCCGTAATGTTGATCAGTGTGTAAGATTTTGTTTCTATATAGCATTTGTGATAGGTTGTATAATTGAGTGGTGTTTCCATGGGAGAGGTGCCGCGGTAATTGAACAACATATTCCCCATATCTCGGATATCTTAAACTATTTCTTGGCACAGTATCATTTGAGCGCAGGCAACTTTCTTTCTTTCTAGTAAGCTCGCTAATTGGACCGGAACCTGCAATCATTGTTAAGGTATGCATTTGCCCCTCACTGTCTATAGTGTGTAAGATATTACACCCTCCCCTCACTGTCTATAATGTTTGTAAGGTATTTACCCTCCCCTCACTGTCTATAGTGTGTAAGATATTACACCCTCCCCTCACTGTCTATAGTGTGTGTAAGGTATTACACCCTCCCCTCATTGTCTATAGTGTGTGTAAGATATTACACCCTTCCCTCACTGTCTATAGTGTGTGTAAGGTATTTTGCCCTCCCCTCACTGTCTATAGTGTGTAAGGTATTGACCCTCCCCTCACTGTCTACAGTGTGTGTAAGGTATTTAACCCTCCCCTAACTGTCTATAGTGTGTGTAAGGTATTACACCCTCCTCTCACTGTCTATAGTGTGTGTAAGGTATTACATCCTCCTCACACAGTCTATAGTGTATATAACGTATAACATCCTCCTCTCACTGTCTATAGTGTATATAACGTATAACATCCTCCCCTCACTGTCTATAGTGTGTAAGGTATTGACCCTCCCCTCACTGTCTACAGTGTGTGTAAGGTATTTTACCCTCCTTACATCCTCCTCTCACTGTCTTTAGTGTGTAAGGTATTACATCCTCCTCTCAATGTCAATAGTGTATATAACGTATTACATCCTCCTCTCACTGTCTTTAGTGTGTAAGGTATTACATCCTCCTCTCACTGTCTATAGTGTATATAACGTATTACATCCTCCTCTCACTGTCTTTAGTGTGTAAGGTATTTTACCCTCCTCTCACTCTCAATAGTGTGTGTAAGATATTACACCCTCCCCTAATTGTCTATAGTTTGTGTAACGTATTACCCCTACCCCACTAATTGTCTATAGTGTGTGTAAGATATTACACCCTCCCCTAATTGTCTATAGTTTGTGTAACGTATTACAACCTCCCCTCACTGTCTATAATGTTTGTAAGGTATTTTACCCTCCCCTCACTGTCTA